ATACCATTTTAAGTGTTTTTGAAAAGATTTTTTATCTCCGCATAGTGGTCTATACAAAGCAGTTACTAAAACGTTTTTTTTTTTTTTTTGTGGTTTAGTAATTCAATCGTTAATGGTTTGAGAATTTCTATTTTCTGATAATGGATTGACTCGTGAATAAAAATGCATACACCGCCACCAACTCCACCACCTCGAGTTTGGTGAATTGCTTTATAACCTGGAATTTGAAAGTTATTTTTTCCATTTTGCACCATGTTTCGATTAAGCATATTACCATAAACTCAGAATTTATATTTTTCAGCATTGATTTAAAATTTTCAAAGTTTTTAAAAATTTTTAAAGTTTTTACTCATACTAGGCTTGCCGTCTCTTGCGAGAAATCTTCATTTACGTCGATGCTTAGTCCTTTTAGTTTTTTGGTTTCTTTTAGGATGTTTGATTTGTCTTTGAATTTCAATAATTTTAATACAATGGTTCGAGATTGAGCTTCTTTTTTAGGGTCTACTCGATGCGCTCTTTCAATTTCAACTCCTTTAACTCCTAATTTATTGCATAATAAATTTTGAACCTTTTCTTCAGTTTCATCCCAGCTTTCATTTGCATTTTCAGGAATTCCAACTATCCTTATTTCTCCTCGACTTGTCTTCGGAGTTTCTGCATTTTTCGTTTAAAATATTAATAATATTCGGGGTTTCAATATCTTTAGCAGCTTTTATCTTTTGGTCTATTAAAGTTTCATAAAAGTATAAACTTTCTTTTAAGTCTTTTACATCATTTTCCAGCAAGTGAATTTTTTTTATCGTAATCCGATAATTTTTTTTCAAAATTATTCAAGCGTGCATTGATAATTTTTAAGTTATCACTAAGTAAACCAATGAATACTTTTTCTTGTTCTTTAAATAATAATTGTATTTCTTTCTTGTGTATAGGATAAACATTTCTTGTATTTCTAATAAAGTTATAGCCATTTTTAATTTTTTTTAAATAAAATATTAAAATGAAAATAGTGACGTATTAGTGTTGTCTCAGAATCAAATATTAGAAACTTTAAAAATAATGAAAAAAAAAAGCCACTACTTAAATTTTCGAGAGCAATAGTAACGATCTTAAAAAACTAAAGTAGTTAAAAAAAAAAGGTGCTCCCAGAAAAGATAAAGCTATGAGGCTTGAAAGCATGAAGAAAAAAAAAATAGAGAAATTGACTATACAACAAAATTTTTTAGTTTGTAATAGTTTAAATCATTTAAATGTAACAAAAGAGAGTTTGCAATAAGTGATTTTCTTTGTTATGGATTTGAAAATATGTCTTTGTCTCTGCTGAAAAAACCATTGAAAGAAAAAGTTCTCAACTTTGAACATTTTTAGGAGTTGAATGTAACAAGAAAACAAAAAAACCAACTTGTCCTTTAAGGAATTTTTATGAAAATCTTCTTATTGTCATTCAAGCAAAATTTTTACCAAACAAAAGTAGTATGAGTTGAAAAGTCTCAATTTTAAGTCTCGTAAACGTCATAATAAATTTGAAGCCGTTAAATTTGAAAAAAAAAAAAAAAAAAGCATTTACGAAATAAATTTTAAAATACAAGACAAGCTAATCACTTGAGTAATTTATAATATTTTTTTAATTTATTAGAAACCTAACCAATTTTGTTAGAATTCTTAAACAACATTTTGTTAGAAAAAAAAAAATCTCGAAGTATCTCTTGCTGTCTACTTTCAAAAAGTTTATTTAATTTTTACTCTGAAGTTTGATAATAAAAACCGTAAATTTTCAACTTGATGATAGAGACTATCCGTTTAATTTACCTTACGTTACTCAAATTATTTGCAACCCGTTTTGACAAGTTTGGACATATGTACGTTTTTCTATGGCAAAACGAAAAGTTTATAAAAGTTTTTGACACTCAAAAAATCAATAAAGTATTTTTTTTCGATGGAACAAATGTTGAAAAAAAAAAAAATTATTTAAGAAACCTTTATTTAATTTAATTAATACCAAAGATTTGAAAGAAATTAATTAATTAAATCCTAAGCAGGGGCGATTCCCGAAAAAATATTTATGAAAGTGTAAGTTGAGTTGGGAATGGACAATTAACAGTAAAAAAAAAAATTTTAAGCTCTGGCCCATAAAAAGGCCCGGGCCCCAAGAAGTCTTAATCCGCCACTGTATATATATATATATATATATATATATATATATATATATATATATATATATATATATATATATATATATATATATATATATATATATATATATATATATATATATATATATATATATATCAATTTGTCAAAAAAGCTAGACGAACAAATCAAATTGTTTCAAATTCTTCTTCATCTGTAAGTTCTCTTAGTTCCCCTGCAGTTTTTAAAAATCAACTTTTATCATCCAAAATATCAACTAATAGAAACAGAAAGCAAATATTGATATAAAAACAGCAAAAATCTTTCTTCTGTGCATATGTGTCATTTAAAACAATTGAAAACCAAGAGTTTATAGAATTTATTAATTGAGCCTTTTCCAAATAACATCAATCTCATGTCAATATTATGTATTATATATTTATGGGTTACTAACTTATATATTTATGGGTTATTAACTTCAAATATAAAAAATATATAAAAGTTTATGATTAACTATCAAATTTTTCCCTTAAGAGCTGGTTGCGCGAGGTTGCATCTGGTTGCGTAAGGGCACGGCCTCAGCTAACAAATAAAACTCACCGGAACTCAAAATTGACTGTATAAAAACATACATAAAAGTTTTTGCATTTTATGTAGAAACATGTGTTTCTATATAATTAAAATTAACATACATAAAATTAAAATACATAAAAGTTTCTACATTTTATGTAGAAACATGTGTTTTACATAAGAAATTTCTGTTATTTTGAAAACTGTTTGCAATATTATTTAAAAAGAAAAATAAACATTTTTTTATATTTACCAAATTGCAAGAACGAACATTTAGCGAAATGCAAGAACGAACATCAGAGATATCTTCGGACCAACACTTGGCAACATTACACATGGTCACTATAGTACAGGGTTGGCAAAAACCCGGGTTTTTGAGCAAAAGTACAACCCAACTGGGTTTTTGCGTTTTTACTAAAGTTTGGTATAAATCTTTAGTGATAAGTTTATAGTTATTTAAAAGCTATTTTTCATTTTTTAAAGTTATATTGTCTTATACAAAAGCTTAATTTATAATCAATTAATAATAAAATAATTTTTTCTTATATAAAGCAATTTTTAAATTGAGTTATCTTTCTACTTAAATTTAAAATATAAGTAGATTATAGGTCTTCATTTGATATTAACATGTCAAAGTATCAATCAGAAGGAAGAAATTGGGCTAGTGGGTGGAATGAAGTGACCGTAAGTAATCAATCAAATTGAGTATTATGTAATTATTGCAAAGAAAGCATAATTAAAAAAATAGAGAGAGTTAAAGTCCATTTTGATTAATCCAGAAGAAAGAAAAAAGGATGCGCTAACGATTCCGCAGAAGTATTTAGCGATATGTCAGTTTTAGATTCAAGTCCATCTACATCTGCAGTATCGAACAAGTCTAACCATTCAGAAAATAATGATTAAGATTGTTTAAGCTTTATTAGTGATTCTCCTTATTATTAATAAATATACCATTTAAAATAGTAGAAAATTTTGACTTGACTACCAAGCTGCCTAAAATATTTAGACCTGAGTGCGAGCTCCCAAATAGAAAACAGATATTTTCAGAACTCTTGGTAAAAGTAAATGAAGAAGTAATCAATATAACGGAAGATGATCTTGGTGATGATTGTGATGTTACCCTAATTCAAGATGATTGGAGTACAGTAATGATTTTAAAATTGCTTATAGTTGCATCTGACTTTAGTTTTTTAAAATCATGTATTTTAAAAACCCATTAAGTTGGGTTTTTGCTCTCGGGTTTTTTGGGTTTGGACTTTTAGGTGCCAACCCTGCTATAGTATAATAAGGGAATATAAGACTCAAAAAATTACAATAGAAAAAATAAGAAATTGTAATTCAAATTGTAATTAGTTAATATTATAGAAAACTTCAAAACTTATTTTCGTCAAGTCGAAACTAAAATTAAACTCGAGTGTCAATTCAATACAAGACAAACAACAACAATTTAATCTCCAAAAAATGGCAATAGCTATTATATTTAACGAATACTTTCATTCAGTCTTCATAAATAATATAAATAATGAGCTTCCTGAATTTTAGAACCGTTCTTAAGTCAACGACGATCAAGAAGCCTCTCACATCTAAGTTCTGAATCACGATTAAAAAGGTTTAATATTACAACGCCAGAAACTCGTAGACTGAGAGGAGATTTAATCGAGTGTTTCAAAATTGTCCACGATTTCATACAAGTTAAGTGGTGTATATTTACGTCAATAATCATAATAAAACCTGATGAGTTAATGAAGCAACCTGCATAACAGAAGAAATCTCATTCGATTCAAAAAGGAACTAGTAAATAAAGTTGTCCATTAAGAGAAAATTTCATTCTTAATAGAATAGCTACTGAACGGAATCGCTTTTCTGCGTCTATCGTGCTATCTACATCAGTGAAAACATTCAAAAAACGATTAGACGAATATATTAAAAGCAAATATAAAGTCACCGGCTGATATAGAGTGTGCTTATTACTCTCTCGTTAAACAATATAAATATTTACATTATTTTGATTGTTTTTTTGCTAAATTTCAGCAATAAAAAGTTATTGTTATTATTATATTTAAATATATCTAAATTATAAACAGAATAAAAAAGAAAAAAAAAGAATCGGCTTTCTGAGACAATTACCCAGGAAAAAAAATTCTAAAGAATTTCTATAAAATTTTGAAACATATAGCCTATAGAAATTCTATAGAACTCTATTTCAATAGAATCTCTTTTAAAAAAACTTTAAACACTTTAAAAAAGTATTAATTTTAAAGCACGGTTGCACTTTTCGACGGTAGCAAATAAAAAGTTGAAAAAAAAAAAAAATCAATGACTTCAAACACAAAGGCCTTTACAAACATATTATTTTGGTTCATATGGTCCTTCTGCAATTAGGCGCTTAAAATCGATGCAGTCTCTTATCCAACTTGCAGTAACAACATGTGGCTTTTTCTTTAGATTTCGTATAAGTTGCCGAATGTTAACTAATGTTTCCGGATCACTAAAAAAGATTCAAAACAATTTCAAAGTAATAACAACAGCATTTTTTTTTTGCATTTGAAAAAGGAAACAAATTTAAGTTTTCCCATTTTATTTTAAAAAGCATTTTTTTTTAGTTGAAAAGGAATACATGGAGCAGTCTGGTTCAAGAGCCTTGTTTAATCAAGAATTATAAACAGATGGACGTTTAACACAGTATTTAAAAGCCAAGATATTCGCGCTATCCATTGTTATAAATAACAATAGCAAAACAATAGGAGACAGTTGGGTCACGTGAAAATACTTTTACTTAATTATTGCACCTATGCTAGAAGTCGCCCATAAATTATAACCCTTTTAAGACTCCTGAATAATTATATAACAAAAGGTTTTTAAATTACATAATTATTCCAGAACTCTATTGGTAAAAAAGGTTCGAATACGAAAAATTATCAAAACAAAGTTGAGACAAAAAAAGCTTTGAATTCCGTCGCAAATTTAAATCTTCAAGAGATTAACAAAATTGTAGGAAGTAGCGTATCTATGTATGTATCTAATTGTAGGAAGTAGCGTATCTATGTATGTATCTAATTGTAGGAAGTAGCGTATCTATGTATATATCTAATTGTAGGAAGTAGCGTATCTATGTATGTATCTAATTGTAGGAAGTAGCGTATCTATGTATGTATCTAATTGTAGGAAGTAGCGTATCTATGTATATATCTAATTGTAGGAAGTAGCGTATCTATGTATGTATCTAATTGTAGGAAGTAGCGATTGCAATCTCTAGTTCAATCTATAAATGATCTATGATATGACCAACAACACATATAAAATTCTTTTTACTTTATAAAATATTTAAATTAATATATCACATATTGTATATTTACAAAAACAATATTTTTAACGTCTAGGTTTTTTTTTTACAAATAAGTTAAAATTTAACTAAGCTTGCATATCAATTAAAATATTTTCAAACACATGAAATATTCTTAATTACATAAAATACGTACATAAATAAATTACATAAAATACATGTCGGTTGAATGTCGGTTTATTTTGTAAAATTATTTCAAAAAAAAGACGCTATAAATTAAATTACTCTGTAACAACAAATCTAGATTAATACCAAACAACAACCTTGGAGTGTACAAGCTTACGTGTTCATGTGGGTGAATTTATATTGGAGAAACAAAAAAGAGAATTTTGCAAAGAACCATAGAACACCAAAAGAAAAGCGAAGAGTGAGATCACTCTCTAAAGTTTTTGAAAATAGGGATAACAGAAAGTGCTTTCTAGCAGGCTGGAAAACAATACTCTGATAAGTACTTGTTAAATAATTTTAAAAGTATAGACAGCAGCTCCGGAAAACACTTCTAAATGACTGTAACAGATATGTTGTCCAGACCACAAGCTGCAGAAGAGTCAAAGCAGGAAACCACTTTGGATACAGAAGCTGGAGTGATACGAATGTCAAGCAATGAATCAACCTGTTTGTTGACTATATTAGGTAGAACGCATCTAGTGGAATCAAGAGTAAGAAGCACATTTGTCAGCAGGAAGACGAAAAATTTCAAGGGCCATCACGAAGAAAATCATGGAAAGAGCCCAAGTCAGCTCTAAGGTAGTAGTAAGAGCTACAATAATAGGGGGATTCTGATGATGAAGAAGAATGAGAAAATAGCTTCAGAGAGATTAAACCGTGATCAAAGGCACCTAAGGGTAAAAGTTGAGAAATTGAGCACTGACTAGGATTAGAAACAAGAAAAATCGAGTAGAGAAGGTAAATGATTTGAATTGTATGGAAAACAAGTTGGAAAGTTGACTATTTGAGTTAGAGATTGAGAAAGGCAAAAGTTGTGGGGCTTAATGCCTGCAGAGTCATTGACACTAGAGCCAACAACCCATTCAGTGCGATGGGCATTAAAATCATCAACAACAACGATATTCACTGAAGGATAAAGAGAGTCAATTCTGGTCTATTTGATCAGAAACAACATCAAAAAGGGTGCAGTCTTGAGATGAAAGAGGGCGATAAAACAACAAGGAGAACGGAGATTGAGTGGTGGTGCGAAACGAGAGCACATAAAAAAATAGTTAGTGGATTCAAATTTAGTTTCCCGACAATTGGGTGAATTCTTACGAATGTAAATGCCCAGATCAAGCATGTGATTTACGAATTAAAGGAAGATAAACATTAACACTAAGATTACAAGATGAGACAGCTAAACACAAATTAGTCTCACAAAGAGCAAGTAGGTCTGGTGAACTTTGCAAGAGATAAGACTCAACAGAAGAATAGTTACTTCGTTAGTACTCTGATATTTTACAGCTGTTGATGGAATCAGCTCCTCTGAGAGCTAAGACAGAATTCGGGAAACCTGACTACCAGCCGGCCTCAAAACCATAAAACTGAGTTTTAGAGCTGTAACCTCATTAGGAGATAACTAGAATGAGTTGCCTAGTCATAAAAACAGAGATACAAAGAAAAACCATACATTGAGTCAAGAAGATTCAGCATTCAAAATCCTAAACTGGAAACAATTTATTATAAATACATCCACATCAGCCTAATATATAAAAGAGGTGTGCGAGCCTGGTCAAAAGATAGAATCTGTTTACTCCCTAAGTCTTTGTCTAGGTGGCCTTCTACAAGACAGTAACCGTCTGAGATATTTTTATTGAAACACCATCTCTAGATCTATAAAAACTATATAAAAAATATATTTTATTGAATTAAATTTATTTATTGAAATAAGTATTTATAAAAGAATGAGAATTTTTTTAATTGCTTTTTTAAGTACAGGATTTCTAGGGGTAAAAAACAATAGGTTTTCACTAAATCTTTATATTATCAATGACAATTTTTAAAATTCTGTATTATTTTTTACAAATTACCAAATGAAACTATAATTTTTATAAATTGAAAACCAAAAAAAAAAACTAAAAACGTTTGGATAATGGTTTTTATGTGTCCGTAAATTTTGATTGATTGGACCTGTTGATGTTTAATGTTGACATGTTGCTCAGACCTACTCTGTAAAATTAAAACAACTAATATACTTTTCAAATTTAAATATTTATTACTTCAAAGTTACTTTTACTACTTTTTTGGAAAATTTCTTCTTTCACCACCAATCTCTGACAGTCAGCATGGATTTTCTAACAGCTGTCTAACACCAATAATTTTTATTTAAACTTAAAAGAAAAAATCTAGAAGAAATACGATTTACTTTAATTCAATCACATCAAATTTTAAAAAAGAAAGTTAAACTACAGAAAGTTCAACCATGGAAAGTTTAATTATAGAATGTTCCACTGCAGAAAGGTCAAATTTTGTTTTGAGAAAGTAAAATATTTCTAACTGTATTTGTCCAACTACAGTTACTTAACTAGTTTTTGATTGATTGATTACTACAAAGGTAGCTATTATTTTGATTAAACAAGTTTTCCGCAACAAATTAACTTTTTGTAAACGAAAATAATATTTTGGTTACCTCCCAGTGGGGTCTGAAATAAAATGCTAGAAAATCAATTCAACTGTAGCAGATTTTAGTAATATATATATATATATATATATATATATATATATATATATATATATATATATATATATATATATATATATATATATATATATACATACATACAAGGCCGGCGCGATAGGGGTGTGTGTGTGTGGGGGGGGGTTACACCCCCCATCAATGACTTTTAGTCGGCAAATTTGACCCTTAGTCGGCAAATGTGACCCTTTTTGACTAGTTAGTCAGCAAGTGTAGACCCTGTCGATAGGTTAGTCGTTAAAGTGGGCAAATGTCGTTATGACAGTCGGTAAATTTTAAATAACGAGGACCTTTTTTTTTTTTTTAAGACGGCAAAAGTTGTAATGGCACCCTCCCCCCCCCCCCCCCACGTGACCCCTACTCGCGCCGGCTCTGTATATATTTATATATATATATATATATATATATATATATATATATATATATATATATATATATATATATATATATATATATATATATATATATATATTAGGGTGATGCAAAATAAGGGTTAAAAAAAAATCTTCTAATGTTTTGGGAGACCCCTTTAATTGTTTTAATTTGTTATAAAAACAATCTCTGTTAAATTGCAGGTTAAAATAATAGTATTTAGGGGGTACGCCGGCTAATAGAAAATTGTGGAAATTCAAAAATTTGAGTAAAATTATATTTTGGAAATTTACTGATTCTCTTTACACCAGAACGTGCAGCAGCGCCACTTTTTCACTTTTTATAGTGAAAGTTCCTTGCTAGGATTATAAAAACCATTTTCTTATTTTCTATTTACTAATAAACAAAGTACAAAACAATGGAAATTTTTAAAAGATATCTTATAATATAATGCATTATGAAACTTATACTTTGGGTTTTATCTTCGTGCCAAAGATAAAATACTTGTTTTAGATTTGTCATGAGCTTCCTCCGATAATTTGATAATAATAACTTGTAATATTGTTTCTGTTGCTCATCATTGGTGATTAATTGTAATCTTCAATAAAATTCACTCCTCTTTCAATATCATTAACAACATTCATATGTTTTACTACATTATACGCTTTCAAATAATTCTCAAGAGGCCAATCTTCTACTGGTTTGCTTAAGAATGCTGAAGACAATCCAAGTATACTAAAAAAAGAACTTGCGTTAGTTGTTACAAAATCTTCAAGCTGCTTAGAGTCAACAGTTTTGATATCTATTTCTGTCTTCTTTGGAGGATCTGTTTCTAAAGGTTTTGTAATAGCATCCTTCATTTTTTTTTGCGTCAAAGCTTACTTTATCATCAAAGAAAGCCAATGCAATCAACTCTTCAGAGAGATACCACAAATAATTCTTAAATTTGCCGAGTGCAACATATGCTAACTCTTCATTTGTAATTTTGTAGCTGTCAAGAACCTTAAGGAGACTTAGATCATTTCGTGGAGCACTTACTGCATGGGGAGCCAAGAACCAATGCTAAATGTATATTGCAACAGAGAAC